TCGTTTTTCCGAAAATGTTAGCCCTAACTCCGGCGAGGTCGTTGGTGCAGACGAGGAGGGAAATAGCTCGTCAAGCGGGATGAGGAGAATAGGCGGAGTATTGCGCGGTCCTAGGAAGGGATGGGGGGAATGGACGACGACTGAGGATGCGATGGAGGCGGGGATCGAGAATGCGCAGCCGGCATAGATTAAGAAACCCAGGGGAAGAGAAGACTGAAGAGGGCCATGCCTGAGGAAAGTGACGGGATGAGAGGAGCTGTCAATATCTCCAATAGGAGCGATGAAGAGTTACATTTTGGGTTGGGGTCTGATTTTGGGGTGTGGTTTTGGGTTGATTGGGGAAGATGGCTTTTTACAAATATTGGGGATTGAATTGAAAATTTTGAAAACTTCATTTTGGGCCTGATTAAAATTATGGGGTGAATTTATAATTTTTTAAATTTCTAATTTAAAGGGTATTTGAGTCTTTTTGCGTAAAAAATACTCACCCATTCGCACATTCCGCGCGTGCTACACACGTTTGGATAGCAGGGGCCTTATTGCCTTTGACTAATTTTCATAGGGGGGTATTTGCTAATTTTTTTAACATAAGGGTTTTTTCAGCAATTCGAGATTACACAAGGGTGGTTTTTGCAAAAAACCCTAATTCATTTATTAAATTTACGTCCTATTAACTGAGCGATACTACAACATGTATTCTCTGGACTATTTCCACTATCCGCACATCTAACTTGAACGTCGAAGGGGTTTCCGCCGGATCAACCCCTGGCCTAGTTCACGTGTTCTCTGTTTGCAGGTATCTCAAGGTCATCAAGCTTGTGAGCTAGTGATCCACTCTGCTCTTCCAGCTCATCATACTTCAAGACTTTAAGGTGATTTAACTCTAGCATCATCAGTGTTAATGTTAAATGTCTCACAACTAATAGCGGGGGCCACATTGAGACAAGTTTTCAAGTGCAGTTGGGCATATCGATGCAATCGAGATAGAAGGGGATAAAATGATACGAACCAAAGTACAAGAGTTAAAAGTGAAATTTGCCCAAAAAAGAAAACCAGAGCGGCAGGGGCCAAAAATCAAAATTTATAAAATATTATGTCAAATAATCACCATGTAAAAAATATTATGTCAAAAAGTAATTAAATTTATTTTTTTTCTTTGAGGGGCGGCTACCCCCTCCTCCTTCATTGTTACGCCACCGGAACGCATCTATTATTCAATGTTTTCTTAGGTGGTGTTTGCAAATGCTCTTTGAAAGTGATTATACGGTTTTTTTCTTCTCATAATCTGTTTTTAGGTGTTTGCAAAATCAACTTTTGCTTTTGCTTCTCTTAAAATAATCTGATTTAAGTTTTTTTTTTAAAAGCACCCCTAACCCTGATTTTTCAATTTTAGTTCATTTTCCGAAATATTTGCAAACACCCCAACTTTTAGAAATAAACACTTAAAACTAACTTATATCACAATCACTAACTTCTGCTTTTAAATAATCATTTGCAAACACCACCTTAGTCTAACATTCAAATGATTTATAAAAATAGAAAAAAAATATTAAAAAAAAATTAATGGACCATATGAAATTAGCACATTTAAATAAGTTATTTTATTTTAAATTGAATCACTAATTTCAATTATCCCGTAATTTTTTTTTTTTTTTTTTTTTTTTGAGGAAATTATTTGTAATTATCCCGTAATTATTTGTATGACTTAGACATGAATTTGTTAGTTTTTCATGAACGAACGAACGGGACTTTTCTAATTAATTATCTGGGTGACGTCATGCAACACGTCACACACCTTGTTTGTCAAACGTCATCATAGTTTTGTCTCTATTGGTCTTTAATTTAATTTTCATGGGTCAACCTTTGGTTGCTACACAAACTTATCTCACAATTAATTCATAAATTAAATTCATCAAAAAACCCGCCATTTGAGCAATTTGTTGAGAGCCATGTAGCATGAAAATTTCAATTTCGCAACGTATCCATATTCTGGAGTTATTTTATCACCAACTGGGCACAAATTATGGGTGATTTCGCAATTGCTGAAAAGTTAAAAAAAAAAAAGTTGAATAGCGAATTTCTTATTTTCCTAATTATTTATATAATTTAATGATCAATTGCAAACTTTTGAATAAAATTGTATGGAAATATATAAAAAGAGTTTCTACATAAATAAAATCTTACGCTGTTTATATAGCTTATTTTTAAATATACCTCTATACCAATTTCCCATGCCCGTTTTCCGATTTTTCCATATCGTTGTTTTCGTGTCCGCACTACACGAGTGGTTGCAAGTTAAAAAGGATATGAACCCAATTCCACAGCCAAACCTAACCAAAGTGTTTGATGAATTTTCCACTAATCATGATTCATGATTATTGATCAAGGTTTGGATAGTGTCATAATAGGGTACCGGTGAGTGGGGTCATGTAGAATTATTATTAAATAGTTAAATTATTATTATTTTTATTTCTGGATAAAGTTGGATGGACTTATCTATAAAACTTTGTTATTCAAAGGAAACATGTGGTTATTCTTTGTTTGACTAATTTTGGTTCATTTAATTTTTCTTTTATTGGGTATCTCATTATTAAGTCGGGCCGAATCTCGATACATCGGCCCGATTTTATTTGAGCGTACAATGACTCAACTGTAATAACTGGTTCGATTAAATAAGTCATTTAAATTTTTATTATTTCATATATTTACTTATGTTTATTTTTCTTAAAATTAATTAAAAATTACTAATATTAATATCAATTTTTATTAATGCGATGTCGTTTCAGTTTCCTCGTGTGGTCTATGGGCAAAGTAAATCAAAGAGACCTGAGAATTGGAATGTAGTGTAGTAGTGGGGTTGCATCATTCCCCACAACAGAGACAATAAAACATGCTGACACTCTGAATATGAAAATCCTTACCAAAAAATAAGGTTCATGAGTTCGTCCTAGGATCGAAATCGGACGGAATTGATCGAAAGAAACTTTTTTAGAAATTTTCAATTTTTTTCGATAGTAAGACTTGGGTTTCAATTTTTGTTTCAAAAAAATCGGACTACAATAGTTCATTCTGATTTTGGAATACCTCAGAATCGGCAGAATTTCGAAAATTAAAAAAATTATGTTAGTTTGTAGTCTATCTGTTCTGAAATTTTTTTGCATGAAAATGCAAGAAAATCCAAAAGCGAGTTCGACAAAATGCAATAAATAAAATACGGTTCTAAACCGGATAATTCTTATCGGAATGGCGGAATTCGGAAATTCCATTCCGATTTTCACCCGTTGTTCATCCCCATTTTTATTTATACCTCGGCTGCGCAATTAATAATTATTATTAATTAATATATACCCATTTATTTTTTTAAATAATTTCTAATTAACATAGGACATAAATATTTACATCAATTAGGATCTTGAAATTCTGATTTATAAGAGCAAATTCAATCTAATATTAATTCGATATATTTAATATTTTGTTTAATACCTATATGAATTTATTTGCTCCAATTATAGGTATCAAATAATTCTTAAGTAAATATATTTAAGATAATCATATATTTAATTACACATGTCATTCTCTAATTGGTTTTTTTATGAGGTTAAATATCTAACTCCTATTTGATAAAGTATTTTAATACCTTCGAAGAGTTAAAATATCAAAATACAACCCTCAGTTGATTAAGGATTTTAATACCGTATTCAATAACACCATTAGAGTTGCTCTAGATACTCCGATTCGCCTCACTAATTATTTTGAAATATTTTATTCATAAGTTATATACAAAATATTTTAATGATGATGATTGTAACTTGCAAGTGAGCCTTTCCAATTATTTATTTATTAATAAGTAGATAGTATTTGGCTTTTGCAGGGTGGGATCGGAGCAAATTAGTAAATTTACTTAAATTAATTTTCATCCAAATATTTAAATTCACACGAGACCCCCAAATAAATTAAATTCGTAGATTTAGGTCCAGTTTGTTAGTCTTACGGTCACAGCCGACGTTTATAACAGGACAGAAGAAGAGTCCCGTGCTGGTGACGCAAGCAGTGACGCACCACTCACACGTGGGGACTCTCATCTTACGTGGCAACTCATGATTAGACCGTCTACTTCATCCCTTTTCCTTTCCTCGGCTGCGGTCAGCCACCTTTCACCCCAAGCAAACGCCAACTGTCTTTTTTAAAACATAAAACAAAAAACAAAAAAGGAAAACATTGAATTATAAAATATTTGATATATATATATATATAATTATTTTTTTATTTTATTAGATTTGATTATCTAAAATCTATTAAAATGCATTAGTTTCTACTGAATTTTATTGAAAATCATCACATTTCCAATATTAAAATGTGAAATATTAAATGTCGTTTTAATTTTACTAATACCATTTTAAACTCGAAATTGATTTTGACATATTTTATTTTGATTTTGGCAAAATTCAAAATACGAAAATTGTAATTCTTTGAGTTAACTTTCTATTGCAACTTAAATCAGCTAGATTGGATATCGTGTGGCAATGTTATACATGAATGAGTCACATTGAGTCTAGATAACTCAATACATCAAAGTTGTGAGCAGTGCTCATTGATTATTGTATATCTTTCTCATCTGACATCCAATATTGGTGACTCAAGTTGGATTGGAAAGTTAACTAAAAAAACTACAGATTCTATATTTTCGATTTACGAATTTTGGAGGCAAAAAACGATCAAAATCGCGTTTCTAGTCGAAACAGTATTATTCAACCAGTCGGCCTTCAATAGCATCCTTAGAG